GTCACGCATGAAGACACCTCGGAAATGAGGTATGTTCAAGAGCTTCGCATATTGCTTTATTTCATAATCATAAAGCGCTTTCTTGGGTAGCTTGATGTTTAGTTTTTTTGAGTTTTTTTTTTGAGGTACAACCCATAACCACCTTTAGCATTTTTTCTCAAATACAATCCTTTGCCCAAAGACTCCATAGCTTTGTTATGGCGATGGTCTTCCTCCAATTTCTTTTGTGCATTCTTGGCATCAACGACCGTTTTGGCCACACCTGCAGCTCCCCCTGCGAGCGCCCCCAAGGCACTTAATCCGGCGAAAAGGGGGATCAAGGGTAGGAATCCCCCAGATTTGCCTTCGATCGGAATTATTCTCGGTAGTCGAACTTTATGTTTTCCACCTGCACTCTTCACCGCTAATCTTGCCGCTTTAAGAGCAACCAATGCAGACTTTTTTAATGTCGTGGTGGTGGGAGCATTTTTCTTCAAGGACTTTGTGATTTTCGTGAGAACACCTCGTCGAAAAGATGATTTCTTCTGCCCCATACCCAATTTTCGCTTAACTTTCATTGCGGTGGTTGTTAGCCAAGCTGCAGTCTTTTCTCCTAGTGAAGCGTCAGGTGCTTTTACACGTTCCCAGGCTCGGTTCTCAAGAATCCAATCAGCTTTGTGTCTGTCTTTCAAATTTTTGTATAAGGCGTATGCAATATCGTGGTCTCTTGCAGCACGATCCAATGGGTTCTTTCCAGGATCTCCTCGTGCTAACCTCTTCTTTAATTTAGTCCCCGCTGAAAATATACATATACATGTGTGAGAATGAAAAAAAAAATATCCTAATCTGTCGCACACTTACGTCCCAGGAACTGATACGAAGGTACGTGGAGTTCTATCGGAAGATTATTTATCAGAGAGTTTACAACACCTTCACCCTTGTACGTTAACATGAGAACTGTTGATGATGCGTTAGCAATATCTACATATATACTTTTACACATTCCCTATTCGAACGCCACACGATGAAGGTTGTTCAACAAGAGCAGTCATTACCCATTGATAACTTGGATTTTACAGCAAAAACTCAACATAGTAAACATGGTAAATTGTTACCGAATTCGTTTCGCGCTATCATCTGCGGACCAAGCGGATGTGGAAAAACGAACGTAATGCTGGCGCTGCTTTTCCATCCAAACGGTGCTAAGTTTAAAAATGTTTACGTTTATTCAAAATCGTTGTATCAGCCAAAGTATCAACTGCTTCAAGAAGTGATTTCCGCTGCTAAGGGTGTTGGCTATTTCCCATTTAAGGATAACGAGGAAATTATAAGTCCAAGTAAGGCTAAAAATAGCTCTATATTCATATTTGACGACGTGTCGTGTGACGGTCAGCAGAAAATTCGAGAGTATTACTCCATGTGTCGTCATAAAGATATCGATGCTGCATATCTCTGCCAAACATACTCTAAAATTCCAAAACAGCTCATACGAGACAACTGTAACATTATAGTACTATTTAAGCAGGATGAAATTAATCTAAAACATATATTTGATGAGCATGTATCTCCAGATGTTACTTTTGATGAATTCAAAAAGATGTGTTCGGAATGTTGGGCTGAAAAGTACGGTACGTTAGTTATTGTTAAAGACTTTCCTCTTAATTATGGTCGATACAGAGTAGGATTTGATAAGTACATAAAATTGTAGGCTTATCATGTACGCCATCATTCAGTAACATGATGTCAAAGGACCAAGTTGCCGTTGCTAGTCATAAACGAAAGATCGCAGAACTTGCTCGAGCTATACGTAAAAAGTATCTTACTTTAAAGTTAGGTCGAACTGCAGAAGATGAATCTATTAGAAAACTTTTCAAACCAATATCTGAACCTCTTAAGCAAATAGCTAAGACTCAGCAGTATCCTTCATTTAGTATTAAAAAAGAGGGAAAATTGAAACAGGATGATGATGATGATGATGATGTATTCACACAGAACCCAAACTATCTCAATTTAGAAGACGTGGCTTCAACTGATGAACAAGGTAATATACCGCCGAGACCTGAAACACCACCACTACCTGAAGAAATGCGTCCTGCTGATTTTTCACAAGAAGCAATAGAAGAATACTTAGATCAATATCCCCCAATAAGCCATAATTATTTACAAGATTTTTGGACACAAAACGATAAAATTGATAAAAATTATGGACCTATATATACCGACAACATTGGTTGGATGTTAGGTAAACGCCGAATTAAATTTGATAGAGCGACTGGCCAAATACAGATATTACCTGAGGGGACAAACTTAGCAGGTACATGGTTTCGTGGCACACCTGGGCTGTATCAACTTTTATTCTATAATGACCCAAACTATGCAGATGCAGATTTACAACCCTATAAAAATCTATTGCAAAGTACCGGTGTTCATTTAGATTCGCTTGGACGCCTAAAAGGTTCGACAGTGTTTAAATATAATCACATTATTAAGCCTCTCTTTAAAGATGTGCAGAAAAATAAAGGTACAATTGTCACACGATCAACATCTACAAAAATACGTAGTCCACTTAGTCGATCATTAACAAGATCCACTCCCTCAACAACAACAACAACAACAACATCATCAACATCAAAACCGCCAACAGGAAAAGGTATCGGTGATTACTTGACATACAACGAGGAACCAATCGAATACGTGTACTGGGATGATCCCAATGAATTAATCGATCGACTTAAACTCCTTATGGCATCTCAGGAAGCTGGCAATACGTCGCATGATAATGAAATAGTAGCCATCCTCAACGAGCTAAAAGAAGCTAATATAATACAGTAATCTAGTTCCTTGGTCTTTCATTTACACGATGAGTCTTGATAAATTCGGACGTCGCTTTGATAAACAAAAGACACTTCCGTATATGCGTACACCGCCAAAGTTAACACTACCCCATACTTCTGATGGAAATGTTGACTTCAAGAACGTAAAGTTGTGTAATATAAAAGATCCCACAGATAATTCAGATGCGGCAACTAAAAATACGTAGATACTTCAGTGATTGATTTAAAAAAAATAACAGCAAAAACAGATCAAATAACAGAGTTTATTTCGAGAAATCCGCCTACTTCTGGTAAACATATGGCAACAAAAAAATATGTAGATGACTCTATTGCAAATATAACAACAAGAATAGAACAGGAGTTGGCTACAATTAAGTCTCATACCGATTTGACTCCAATACGGAAAAATATCATTGAATGAATTACAACTTTTGCAAGGACGCACATCATATATATCATTGAAAACATTCGATCTTGCTAAGCGTATAAAGCCGATGGAAAAACAATTTAAAGCGTTAAAACATGATGACGTACGCCAAGGAGAAGCTACAACTAGTTAACGAGCTGCACAAGCCTGCTCGAAAAAATTATCTAAGACGACGTACGTTATAGTACAGAAGATTTACCCCTACCACTACAGAAGAGGATCGAGTTTCCCTGGATCAGCGCTTTGCCTTATCCAGTCCTATTTTATTGTATTCAGAGTTAGTCAGTCTGTTGTTAGCGTTCATACTACATACATCAATAGAATTGTATTTTTGATAATCGAGAATAAATCTTTTTAAAAAGAAAGTAGACTGACTCGGTCAGATAATTGGCGCAGCCAGATCGGATTTTCGGGCTGTTTCGCGAATCAATCGAGACCGCGAAAGCAGTTTTCGTATCGACGAATTTACCGGAAAAACGGCCTACGGACTAAAGACTTTGGTGAGTGGGAGTTCGAGCGGAACCGGTCTATCGAAGACACCGTGTGCAGCTACCACCTACGAAGTCAGGGATTTGGACCACACATCGCCCAAATCTGCAAGCGGAACATTTTGGAGAAGGACCAGATCGCCCAACCAAGATCGTCCCCTTATAGTTAAGCAACCAAGTAAGACAAAGAAAGAAACGTGATGCACTTGATCATCCTCGTATTAGCGTAAGTGCAACTATACATTTTAAATGTCTTTGGAAGATATTGCAGAGGCTATAGATAATTTGACACTTTCAACAGACTCACCTATTTTAAGACCACCTAGATTAAATATTGAAAATATTCCAAGCATGTCTCAATTCAGACCAGAATTTTTAAATTGCGTCCCAGAGTTTGACGGAAATCCTAACGACTTAAATAGGTTTCTATCAGTGAGTGAAACATTAATTGCAAATTTTTATGATATACGGAACCCACATAATTTCCAAAATATCTATTTGCTAAATTCACTGATCTCGAAATTAAAAGGAAATGCTAAAGTGCTTGTGAATATCCAAAATATCACAAGTTGGGCAGATTTAAAAGACATTCTGACTAGGAATTTTTCTGATCAAAGAGATGAAACTTGTCTAAATCGTGATTTGGTTATGTTGAGGCAAATGCCAAATGAAACGCCTCAAAAATTTTATGATAAGTGTCTTCATATTTTGAATCTGCTATGCAGCCATGTAAACGTACATGAACATTCTGAAGAAGCAAAAGTGTTAAAAAGAAATTTATATCAAGAATTAGCTCTGAAAACATTTTTGTGCGGACTACGAGAGCCCTTGGGTACAACAATTAGATGTATGAAACCCACATCTCTCAGCCAAGCCTTACAATTCGTTATATCTGAAGACAATGTCAGCTATTTCCAAAATTATAACAAAAATTTTGGAAAATCACAAAATGTGCCCCAGAATCAAACTTCCAGGCCAATGCAAAGGCCAATGATAAGTCAAAATAGACCTTCATACTTTCAGCCTACTAATTATTCATTCAGTCAGCCGAACACTTCAACATTTCAACCTAGGTTCAATTCGACTTTTCCGACTGGACCTGTAAATTTGCCAAGACCAGTTTATCGTCCTCAGAGATTTCCGACGAATTCTCAAGTTTTTAGACAAACACAGAATAACAGAAACGTTTTCAAACCTAACCCTAACCGTACTTTACCACAAACTACTCCAATGAGTACTTCTACTAGAATTTCTTTACCACAAACTACTCCAATGAGTACTTCTACTAGAATTTCTTTCAAACCTGAACATAATTCGACAGCCCAGCAACAACCAAAACCAAATTGGATCGCTGAAGAGCTATTCAATACAGAGATAGAAAGCAATAACACCTATGAAGTTCCTGGTAACGAATCCTTTGTTTGCGATCAAACTGTAGCTGAACCACAAAATTCAGATACATATTTCACTGATCAGTATTGCGAGTATTATACACAAGATATTCCTGAAACTGATCACGTAGAACCACCTCAAAATTTTCAGAAGGACTCATTCATAGAACACAAGACCTAGCACCAGAAGTAATTTCACTTAACGCCAACAATGCTAGCGAACTATCCTACATTCTTTTTCCCGAATATGGAATTAAAATGTTGATCGATTCTGGATCAACTAAGTCATTTATTGATCCCAGTATTGCTCGTAAATTTTTTCCAAATTTAATCAGAGATGATCCATTCGTTGTATCAACTGTTTTTCAAAAATCCGCTCACAAATATAGTGCATCCATCCCGGCATCGAAAATTTTCAATCTTCCTAATCGTATAGATTTGAAGTTTTACCTATTTAAATTTCACAATATTTTCGATGGATTGATTGGATTAGATAATCTAAAATTATTGAGAGCCGATATTAATTTAAGCAAAGGAATTTTACATACGCCCTACGCCAAAATTAGACTAAAATTTCACCAGCTTTCTAACGACTTGAATTTGATAACCGTCGCACCTCGAACCGAACAAGTAATAAAAATCAAAACATCGATCGCCAATGGTGAAATCGTTATTCCTCATCAAAAATTTCATAATTGCGAGATACCTGAATGCCTTACGATAGCAAAAAATAATTTTGCGTTGACAACGATTTTGAATAACACTACTAAGCCTGTTACATTAAATTTTTCTCAGCCGATTTCAGTAGAATCATTTAATTTATCAGAAATGCCAGAAATTGATCTCAATTATTTAGACACGTCACAAAAATTTGACCTAGATTTGTCGAAAATCAGAATTGATCACCTAAATTCTGAAGAGAAATCAGGGATACTTCAACTTTGCAGAGAGTTTTCAGACATTTTTTACCAGGACGGAACTCCACTAACATTTACTAATAAAGTCAAACATCAAATAAAAACTAAAAACGAAAGGCCCATTTACACAAAATCGTATCGCTATCCATTTGTTCACAGAGGCGAAGTAAATAGCCAAATACAAAAATGTTGGATTCCAATATAATACGTCCAAGTAGCTCAGGTTATAATTCACCTATCTGGGTCATTCCAAAGAAGCTAGACGCTTCGGGGAAGCAAAAATGGAGAGTTGTAATTGACTACCGAAGTTTAAATGAACAGACTATTGACGATAAATATCCATTACCCAATATCAACGACTTGCTAGACAAACTTGGCAGATGCCAGTATTTTACTACCCTTGACTTAGCAAGTGGTTTCCATCAAATCGAGATGGAGGAAACAGACATAGAAAAAACCGCCTTTAGTACTGAAAATGGGCATTGGGAGTTTCTCCGGATGCCTTTTGGCCTAAAAAACGCGCCCGCCACATTCCAACGCGTCATGGATAATATTTTAAGGGGGATACAAAACGAGAAATGTCTCGTATATCTCGACGACATTATAATTTTCTCTACATCCCTTCAAGAACATATTGAAAATTTAAGGTCAGTTTTCCAACGACTCAGAACTTCAAAATTTAAAATACAGCTCGATAAATCAGAATTCCTTCGTAAAGAAGTAGCTTATCTCGGACATGTAGTCACACCAGACGGCGTTAAGCCAAATCCAGATAAAATTATTGCCATCCAAAAATTTCCGATTCCAAAAACGACTAAGCAGATTAAAAGCTTTCTCGGACTTATTGGTTACTATAGACGTTTTATTAAAGATTTTGCGAAACTCACAAAGCCTCTAACTAAATGTCTAAAAAAGGGAGCCAAAATTGAACACGATGCAGAATTTATTGACTGTTTCGAAAAATGTAAAAATGTTCTTATCAATGAACCGATACTCAAGTATCCAGACTTTTCTAAGCCATTTAACTTAACCACGGATGCGAGCAACGTAGCCCTTGGTTGTGTACTTTCACAAGGCCCTATAGGACAGGATCTTCCTATCGCCTATGCTTCGCGCACGCTTAATGATTCCGAACGAAATTATAGTACGATTGAGAAAGAATTACTAGCAATAGTCTGGGCGACTAAATACTTTAGACCCTATCTTTACGGGAGAAAATTCAATCTAATTACTGATCATATGCCCTTAAAATACTTATGGTCCCTTCGAGACCCTTCTTCAAAATTACTAAGATGGAAAATCAGGTTAGACGAGTATGATATGAATATCATCTATAAGAAAGGCAAACTGAATACAAATGCAGATGCCCTGTCTCGTGTAGAGATCCATACAAAGGAAACCAGTTCATTTTGGAACGACTTAGATGATTTGATTCAAGAATGCGCAGGTACTCAACACCAAAACGTTAAGTTTGACCGACCAGTTCAGAAATCCTCATCTGAATTAAGTACACCTACATTTAACTTTTCTACCCCAAAACAACCTGATACCGAATCTATGTTCGTAAACGTCGATAATGACGAAGACAGTCTTTTTATTCAACCCCTGGACGAAATTGTAGATATCATTGAACATGAACAAGTCAATCTAGAATATCAAAATAATCGTCCTGAAAATCCAGACGAAACTGTACATTCAAATACGGACCAACACCCCATTCAGACAATTCCTATAGTTGATTACGCAGTTAATCAGGGAAATAATCAGATTATCATAAGTACAGTAAAACATTCACCTGCACCACCAAAAATTTCTATTTTATTTGAAAGCAAGCAACGAATTAACGTACAATTTTCAGAAAATGATTTTGACGATGATGTATTTAAATTTATTCGAGATTATATTGCTCCTAACGTCATTTATCACTTATACTTTGAAAATCCAGATATATATGAAAAATTTTCTGTTGTTCTACAAAGGATGTTTAAGTCCGATGCTTTGAAATTTAAAATGTGTAGAACCAAATTAGTCGACGTTACAGATAAAACTGATATCAAGGACATTATTCGGAATTACCACGAAAGCAAGTCGAATCATCGTGGAATTGAGGAGACGCATCAGAGAATAAAAGAAAAATATTTTTGGCCTAACTTGAAAAAATCAATCCAAACATTTATAAATGAATGTGAAATTTGTCAACAATGTAAATATGAGCGTCATCCGATAAAAATTGCGATGAATCTCACCCCCACTGCATCAAAACCTTTTGAAATCGTACATATCGATACTTTCACTTTTGAAGGTTCAAAATTTCTCACAATTATAGACAGTTTTTCTAAATATGCTCAAGCATATCAGATTACTTCGCTTTCAGGAACTGAAATTGCTGATAATCTGATATTATTCTTTTCTCATCATGGAATTCCTACCCGAATTATCGCAGATAATGGTACTGAATTCAAAAATACCGTTGTAACTGAACTTTTGTCACTTCACAAAATTAAGCTTCATTTTATTTCGCCAAATCATCCAGATTCTAATGGAGTCGTTGAACGATTTCATTCAACTATCACTGAACATTTAAGATTGTTGAACACAGAAGGCTTTCAGAAAACCCCTATAAAAATGAAAATGTTGTATGCCGTTTTAGCCTACAACCACACCTTACATTCTGTAACAAAATTAAAGCCTATAGATATAATCAATGGACATATTACGTCGAATGAACCATTCGATATCAAAATCGACCAATTACTCCTCAATGACTATACCAACAGCCACAAAGAGCGTACAAAATTATTGTATTCAAAAATAAATTCTGATCTCATTCAAAACAAAGAAAAGACGCTAGAACGCATTAACAGAGATTGCGATAGTCCGACTATACTTGATAACCGAGAAACAGTATACGTCAAAAAGCATGTTAGAAAAAAGCACGCCAACAAATTCTCAAAGCCGTGTAGACTACAAAGTGTTAATACGGAGAAAAAGACCGTCGCGACGGACCAGCACGGAAAAGTGCATATAAGTAATTTGAAACGTCCGCTACGCAAACTTTATTCGTTTGACTAAGCCTCGAGCAATTAGATAAGAAACTATGTATGTAATCTACGTTTACTTTACTCTTAATTGCACGCTAAAAATAAGATTTTCTTTCGAATATATTATTTTACAGGTTCCCAGGAATCATAGGAATCCATGGTACGATAACGTTGAAGAATTTAGAAAATAACCTAGGGTTGATACCCATGAAATTAGGGACCGCCAAAATTACAAAAAATTGTCACTCAATACTGTATTTTTACGACGTCAATTTAATAATCACTGAAGTTAATGACCTTAAGAAAAAAACTGAAAATGTTGCGACATTATCCAGGAAATATATTGAGCACTATAAACACTCAGCAAATTACCTCAATGTTTTGTATTTCTTAGAAAGAAAAGTAGACGGAAAACTAAATGACATTTTTCCCTCTACTTACGAAATTGTTCCATCATTCTCTGTTAGAATAAAAAGGGGATTAATAAACGGCTTAGGTTCAATTTTCAAAGCAATCACAGGAAACCTGGATGCTTCAGATGGTGAAAAATTCGAGTCTCTAATAAGCGATTTGCAGAATGATCAAAACAAGTTATCAGAAGCTATCAATAGTCAGAATACCTTATCTGTCGAACTTATCGATAATTTCAATAAAACGGTAAGTCAGATTACTCATAACCAAAAGCTATTGGAAGCTAAAATAAATCAGCTTTCAACAGCTATGATTAACACACAAGCCTACATAGAAAATGGCATTTTCTTGAGAGATACAATCTCAGAGATCATGAATATCTATCATATCATAATTTCAGTGCTCCAGGATATAGAAAACTCACTTACTTTTGCAAAATTGGGAATTATGCACCCCAGTGTAATCAAACCAAAAAATTTACTTCAAGCACTAAATTCAGTGGCATTAAAACTATCCACAAAGCAACTCCCTTTAGAAGTTACTTTGGATAATATCCCGATTTTTGAAAAGCTCATTAAAATCAGCTGTTATACAGTTGATAGAAAAATAACATACATTCTTCAAATTCCAATTGTTCATACATTCCAATTTGATTATTATCACTTATATTCAATTCCAACCTTTCATAAGGGTCTGTTCAAAGTAGTCATCCCTTCTGGAAAATATCTTGTAAAGAATGAGTTGTACTTCGCTTTTGCGGGAGACGCATGCACGGAAACGGTCGCAAAACAGTACGTTTGCAAAGAACTAGATTTAAGAAGAATCAAAGAATCCAATCCCTGTGAAGTTCAACTCCTGGTACAAAAAACTCCCACTACCTGTCGAGAAGTAGAAGCCGTAATCACAGAGCCAGTAATGAAGAAACTGCATGATTTCGGACAATGGATCTTGCTTATACCCAATGAAACCACCATTACATTAAGCTGTCAAGAAGGCCAAGAAACAGTCAAAGTTTTGGGATCCTACTTAGCCGAAATTCCAGTCGGTTGTACACTGGAACTAAATCAAGACCTGATCGCCAATCAAGAGCCTATATCGATTGGAAGTCAGCCTATTATTTTTCCAAACATAGATAGCAATACTTCAATTGCTACCAAGCCGAGTGACTTCAGCCTTCATCTAGACCAAATAGAATTTGATGAAGTTCACAAAGTAAAAAGAAGATTAATAGAAAATCGTGTTGACATCCATTCACATAAGGTGTCGCACATTCCCAGTTCTTGGACAATCCTGTTGTATGGAGTACTGCTGCTGCTACTTTGCTGTTTTGTCTACAAGAAGATCATTCCGAAGATTTTTACTAAGCCGAAGAAACCACAAAGAACCCCGATTGAAGAAGTTGATCTTTCCAATGTGCAACTTCCTCGTTAACCCTCGAAGTTGCATCTACAAGGGGAGGCGTTATAGTACAGAAGATTTACCCCTACCACTACAGAAGAGGATCGAGTTTCCCTGGATCAGCGCTTTGCCTTATCCAGTCCTATTTTATTGTATTCAGAGTTAGTCAGTCTGTTGTTAGCGTTCATACTACATACATCAATAGAATTGTATTTTTGATAATCGAGAATAAATCTTTTTAAAAAGAAAGTAGACTGACTCGGTCAGATAATTCGTACCATCATTAAAGGCTTAGACGATTTATGGCAGACGGACTTGGCTGAAATGCGACCTTATGCTCATCAAAATAAAAATTTCAAATTAATTCTCGTCGTAATCGATTCTTTTTCCAAGTTTATGTGGACTAGACCGTTAAAGACAAAGACGGGTGAGGAGATAACGCGTGCGTTTTCGGATATCCTCGCACATACGGAACGTACGCCGAAAAATCTACAATCTGATCAAGGTAAAGAATTTTACAATAGTAAATTTCAAACTTTAATGAAGAAGCATGATATTAATCATTATAGTACATATAGCATCAAGAAAGCGGCCATTGCTGAAAGAGCCATAAGGACGTTGAAAAATAAACTTTACAAATACTTTAGCTTAATGGGATCGTATAAATGGATTGATATATTACAAAGCATTACCAATGAATACAATGGAACACGTCATCAAACCATCGGATGTAAACCATCACAAATTAATAAATCCAACGAAAAATGTATCTTAAATCGAAAATATACTCATTTAAAAATCGCGGGCCCGCGTAAGTTTAAAGTTGGTGACATTGTACGCATCAGCAAAACCAAAATGCTATTCGACAAGGGATACGTTCCAAGCTGGACAACGGAATTATTTAAAGTTACTAAAATTAATATTACCAACCCTGCAACGTACATGCTCGAAGATATGCAAGGTGCACCGATCAAAGGAGCCTTTTATGACGAAGAATTACAGAAAACAGCCAATCCAGATGTTTATTTAGTTGAAAAAGTTTTACGTCGTAAAGGTAAAAAAATGTACGTCAAATGGCTTGGCCTTGATGCAAAACATAATAGTTGGATTGACAATGATGCGATCGTCTAGGTGTATGGGGTGGGGGGGTTTCTGCTAAAAGTGAGTTCTCAGTCGGTTGCAGTCAGTCAGTCAGTCAGTCAGGCAGCTAGTAAAAAAAAAAATGGATACCAGTGGTAGTGGTTCAAGTTGCAGCGAGTTTGACCTCACCACCAGCAGCTCACACGAATCATCTGTAAACTACGACCGTGAGCTGGATGCTATTCTGGAAAGGTACGAAGAAGCGGCCAAGAACGAGGACCATTATCTGCTGTACACGCAGTTTCCAAATGGATCATACCAAATTGGATGCGGTCTAAGCCCAGCGAGATCATTTACTCCTGCTGTAATTGTGTGGAACTCATCACGGTTGAAACTATCTTTCAGTTCCTATGAGTGGGAACAATTAATCACCCAGCTCAATGTGGTAACGGTGAAGGAGACGGAGGAGCAGGAGGAGGAGAAGAACCTTCCTGACAAGTATGATCCTGTCGAAATCGAGTGCGGTGACTATTGCAGAATTCGACGACTAATCTATGATAGTACGAAAATTCTCGAAATAACCAAGCACAACATTAGTTTCTACCTCTCAGAAATGGACGTGAACGCTCTTTTAGAAGCAAATAATGAACTTTTAGTACCGTATATGTCTATGCTAGAAACTGTTGAATTTCCAAGCTATTATTATAATGCGCTTAAGATTGTTCGAGCTAGTTTTAATGAACCAAATTATTCGTTTTCAGATGCTATTCAAAAATTGTATACATTTAAGCTCGTAGGCTGTACTTTACAACATATAGCGTTAGGACAACATATATTTTTCTATAGACATAGGATCGCTAATGATCTTGAACGATTTTAATAAAGTTTTTGTAAAAATGCATATCTGTCGTTTCATTATGATATACGTCACGTAACGTGACACGTGACGTGACGTGACACGTGACGCACGTGACGTGACACGTGACGCACGTGACGTGACACGTGACGCACGTGACGTGATACGTGACGCACGTGACGTGATACGTGACGCACGTGACGTGATACGTGACGCACGTGACGTGCACACTTTGTTCAAAAATACCAAAAAGATGTCTTGATAGCCCGAAGAACCGCGCCACAACATCAGAAGTAATGTTAGTATTATGTGTGTGCGTGTTTTTTTTTGTTTTTGAACACGCTAAGTTTTGAACTCCAACCACGCACTAACATTGCTTCTGATGTTGCACACCTCTGACGACTCAAGCTATCAGGACATCTTGTTGTTGTTGTGAACTCTTCTTACTAGAAAAATCTAACGAAATCAATAAAACATCTTTTTATAAATATTCATTTATTAAATCTAATTACATACATGTTTGAAAAATATATATATATATATATATATATATAAATGTTAGTACTACATACATGTTTGAAAAAAAATATATATATAAATGTTAGTACAATAGATAGAGAGGAACTGGAGGACGGATGAACGCTTTTTATATATTTTTTTGTAATTTGTTTGCTGTGATGTTTTTTTTTAAAACTCAATATCGCTGTCTACATCAGATTCATCAAATCGGATTCGGATGTTATTTCTAGACCTATCATGTAAGGCATCTCTGCAAGATTCCTGGTCTTTTAGTTCAAACACTACGCTTTTAAAGCAGCTGTGACACCAATTATACTTTTTTTGGTATACGTTCAAAATAATGTCATGTGCATCGTGAACCTCGTGAGAATGGTCATAGCAGGCAAATAAACGTTTATTTAAAGTTTTATGTATTTCTTTAAATTTAGATAAACAATTTTTACATACGTGTAGGTAATATTGGTCCAGCCAATATCCACTTGTCCATAGACAGTAACTAGAATAATCTTCAAAAACATAACCCCAATCTGATTTTCCTAATATAGTGTGAATTAAATTTGGATCTATTTCTTTGTGACATCTAATAAAGTTAATTCCTGTATATGAAGAATCAAGATCATTTTTGGCTTCTTTAATCATAGCGTGCCATTTATATAAAGGAAATTGTTTCACAATTTCCGTAGTTAATTTCCATGGTAGTGGAGACTGCTCCATGAATTCTACTGCTGATGATGTTATTGATTCGCAAATTTTTCTAACAGCTAACTCTGATAATGTTGGGGCATTCATCTATAACAAAAAAAAAAACGCTATTATAAGATACTGTAATGCCCCCACGGAAGTGTGTCAAAACTGTTCGGAATTAAATAACGTTTGTCGTCATACGGACTTAAACTAATTTTTGACTGTTCAACAGAATATACGTTGTGTGC